GTATTGTACTGTTATTTAAGATAAATGATTTTTATAATAACGATGAAGTAATTAAACATTATATTATAACTTAAAGCCAAAAAATATCACGGAAGGAATGGATGATAACTCATTTTCAATTCTCTATATTAAAATTAGAAGTATTTATAAAAATTTTGAATCTTTAAAACAGTTTTTATATAAAATCAAAGTTAGTTTTAACATTATTTGCCTTAGAAAAACATGGTGTAATGATAAAAATATTGAACGCAACTCAAACTTTTAAATACCTTATTACAATGTGGTTCACCAAGTTAAAGGTTGGGGTTTATGTATATTTATTGTTAATTCTTTATCATACAAATTTATGCAAAATTTAAGTTTAACCTCTAATGACTACGAATCATTTTGCGTGGAAATCATTAGCAAAACCTCAAGAAATATTATAGTGCATGCATTATATAGACCGCCTACAGGAAAAATTAATTCATTCAAAGACCACATTACAAAAATAATTAAAAAAAAATCAAGCTTAAATAAATGTGTGTATTTTATCGGAGACATTGACCTTAACATTTTTGACTATGACGTTAATAAGCACATTAATAATGTCTTTTTTCAATCTGGTTACACTCCATTAATCAATAAACCCACGCGTGTAATTAAGAATAGTGCAACATCAATAGATCAAATTTTTACCAATGAATTTGTTACATCAAAAATAAAAACTAGAATATTTAAAACGGATATATCAGATCACTTTCCAATTTTTATTATTTCAAATAAATGCAATAAGTCTTATACTCACAAAAGGAAAGTAACAACACGGCTAATAAACGATACTTCCATTAAATCTTTTCATGATATTATATCATCTGAAAAATTGGAAGAAACTCTATTAAAATTTAAATGCTGATGAAGCCAATGATATTTTCTCTTAAATATTATAATAAAGCGTTTCCTAAAGTTGCAAAATTAATAAAAGAAAAATCCTTTTTAAGCCCTTGGATAACAAAGGGAATTATTAAATCTTCAAAAATAAAACAGCGATTATATTGCAAATATAATCACTGAATATAAATCTTTAAAAAAGAACACTAGACTATATAAAACAACTACAAAAAATATAAATGTATATTTGAGTTAATTTTGAGACGTTCAAAAACTAATTACTATTCAGATCAAAAAATAAAAAAGTAATGGTTCATAAAACACATGGCGCATTATTAGAGAATTAATTGGCAATAAAAATTTAGACAGAAATGCTCTGCCAAAAAATCTCAAATTAAATAATAAATTAATTGTTAATAAATCTATGGCGGCAGAAACGCTTAATAACTTTTTTGTTAATGTCGGTAAAAGTTTAGCCGTTAAAATTGAACCATCTCAAATAAGCTTTAAATCATACTTGACATCAAATAATGATGTTATACTTAATCATGAACTTACGAAGGAAGATTTATTAAATTCAGTATCTTTGTTAAAACCTAACAAAAGTTCAGGTTTCGATGATGTCAGCAGTAATGTCATTATTAAATAAATAAAATATATAACAATACCGCTTTTACATGTTTTTAATTTGAAAAACTTAAAAGTGCAAAGGTTACACCAATTTTTTTTTAAAACAGGTTATCCTTCAGATCTTTCCAGCTACAGATCAATATCAGTTCTTAATTGTTTTTTTCGAGATTTTTGAGGGTGTAATGTATAATAGAATTCTTTACAAAAAATAACTTGGGTTTAAATCCGGTCATTCGACCGATCATGCAATAATTAATCTTGTACACGAAATATTTAAAGCTTTTGATGAATCAAAATTTACTTTAGCTGTCTTTATTGATCTAAGCAAAGCGTTTGATACCGTAGATCATAATATTCTTCAATATAAACTTAAATATTATGGTGTCATAAATTCTAACTTAGATTGATTTAAGAGTTATTTCTTTACTTACTTCCTAAGCTTTTTATTAATAACTCTTATGTCAAAAGAGAGCGTTCGTTGTTGTTTCTAGGTGTAGTTTTAGATGAAAATGTAACGTGGAAAGAGCACATACGTTTAATCTAAAATAAAATCTCATAAAATATAGGCCTTTTATACAAAGCCAAACAGTTGTTAAACCAAAATTGTTTAAAATCCGTTTACTTTTTTTTTATACATTTTATCTAAATTACGCCAACGTTGCTTGGTGCAGCACTAATGTATCTTAAATAAAAAGCTTTTAAATAAACAAAAACACGCAGTAAGTATTATTGGAGTAAGTATTCTTTTTAATAAATTTAATATACCAATGTTCATATATTCACATATTCACATATTCAATATATATATTTTTAATAAATTCAAAATATCGCAGTAAGTATTCTTTTTAATAAATTCAAAATACTCAATGTATTTCAACAATTCGAAATCTTAATAAATAAAAGTTTGAAAAAAAAATAAATTATATATATCTTAATTTGTCTTGTACTTGTCCCAGCCGTGTATATATATTTTATTCAAGTCTAATTTTGTAAGTATTTGCTTTATAACAAAATACATAATAATAATGTTAATAATAATAGCAATAATAATAATAATAACATTAATAATAACAATAATAATAGCAATAATAATAATAATAATAATAATAATAATAAATAAAATAATAATAAGAAGAAATAAGAAATTTTTTAACAATTTGTCATCTATGCAACTTGATGACTTAGATTATATTATGTGTAAAAAAACTAATAGCAGAAAGTTCTCATAAATGGTACACTATTGACATATCCAAGACAATTATCAATGATGGCAGAGTAATAAAAGTTAATTAAAAAAGTCATAAACTACATTCTTTGTTACTTTTATGTTTAAATAATGACATATCCATTATATAACCAGAATGTGTTTTATTTATTCATTTTAATTTAAACTCCATTACAGTTGAACAGCTTGACATTAAATATACATAATAAAAAAATCTTTTTGTTCTTTAGATCTTCATTGACTGGCTCCTCTCTCTGGATGAGCATTATATGCACATGACAAAACAAAGTAGATATATTTAAATATGATTTTGTTGTATACTTTAGCTCCTACATTATTAAAGCCTACATTAAATAGACTATTTTTTGCTTTTTTAACTAAAACTTTAAATTTAAGTTTTGTTTTACTCTTTTTTTAATTTTTTACTGCAAATTTCACATTTCGATTTGGACAATGGAGTCCATTGATGAATATTTAAATTTTCCAGATGAATATTTAAATGAGAATTTAAACGAAAAAATAAAGATGAATACTTAAATCATTTATTATCATTATAATCATTAGATGTTTTTATATATATGTCAAATATACAATCAAAGTCTTATTATAATTATGAAACTATAATGTGGGCCAGTATGTTTTGGTTTGTCAAAAGACTGTTTGTGTGAATGAAATTCCATCAAGTTGAATAAGGAATGGTTTAGTTCATTGAATGAACTAAATCATTCCTTATTCATATTTGACATATATATAAAAACATCTTTAAATGATTTAAATACTCATCTTTAATCCACCATTTTTGTCACTAAAATATGCAATGTAAGGTATTGAACACAATGTAAAATGACTTTTAAAAAACTTGTGTATAATGCCAATTCTTATAAATTTTTGTAAAATTATGCATTTTTAATAGCAAAAAAATCTTTTAATGTTTTCACTTTTATTATATTAACACACTTATTAAAAGTTTTTAAAGAACTTTTCTATGCACTAATTTATGTAAAATATTAAATTTTATTCCGAATTATTAGTACATTTGCGTCGGCGAACTCTCATCTAAATTTCAACGTAATTTCAACGTTTTTTTTTTTTTCAACGTTAATTCAACGTTTGTTTTTAGTTGAAAATAAACGTTGAATCAACGTCGAAGTTTCAACCTTTTCTTTTTTAACGTTGAACTAATGTTGAATAAACGTTGAAATTTAGATCGTTATTTTTCAACCATATATCAACCATTTCTCAACGTTGAAATAACGTTATGTGCTTGCTGGGCATAGGCGCAATGGTTCAGACGATTTTCCTGAAAGAACATTATCGTTTAAAAATCGATATTTTTCGTTTAACTTGGGCTACAATGCTCAAAGAC